TACACCATGTATTTAACAGAGGTAGTAGTACATTTTTTGTGACATGCATTACTAGATATTGCTAGTCAAATACTAAATCCAGATGGATGTGGTAGTACTACTAAATCCAGACGGTGGTGCTAGTACTAGTAGTAGTACTACCAATGCAGTAGCACTGTACTACCCGTTGGTCAAATTATTACGTGCTACTCCTCACAGTGAAGTGACAAGACCCTACGCCAGAGATGACACCTGAATATAGGCGTTGTGTTCTGCATACCATAGTCAGCCTCACCGTCTACAGTCACTATCATCATGCTGTAGACCTAGCCTGCTAACAACTTGCCGTGTTCGACATAATTTCCCGTGCGTAGATGCCCGTGCATTGCACGGAACACCAAGATTGGAGGGGTGATACGTCCATTTTGCATCATGCTTTCATATCGATATTTATTGCACTATGGGCTGTTATTACACATTATGTCACAATACTTATGCCTATTCTCTCTTATTTTACAAGGTTTACATAAAGAGGGAGAATGCCGGCAGTTGGGACTCTGGGCTGGAAAAAGAGCAAATATTAGAGACCTATTCTGCACAGCTCCAAAAATCCTGAAACTTCACGGAAGTTATTTTCAAAATATATAAAAAATACTGAGCGCAAGAAGTACCAGGGGGGCACTCACCAGCCACGAGGGTGGGGGCGCGCCCTACCCCCCTGGGCGCGCCCCCCTGCCTCGTGGGTCCCCTGGTGGCCCTCCGATGCCCATCTTCTACTATATGGAGTCTTTCGTTGAGGAAAAAATGATAAGCAATCTTTCGGGATGAGACTCCGCCGCCATGAGGCGAAACCAATCTAGGGCTCTGGCAGAGCTGTTCTGCCGGGGAAACTTCCCTCCGGGATGGGGAAATCATCACCATCGTCATCACCAACGATCCTCTCATCGGGAGGGGGCTAATCTCCATCAACATCTTCACCAGCACATCCCCTCTCAAACCCTAGTTCATCTCTTGTATCCAATTCTTGTCTCTAAGTCTGGGATTGGTACCTGTAGGTTGCTAGTAGTGTTGATTACTCCTTGTAGTTGATGCTAGCCGGTTTATTTGGTGGAAGATCATATGTTCAGATCCTATATGCATATTAATACCCCTCTGATTATGAACATGTATATGCTTTGTGAGTAGTTACGTTTGTTCCTGAGGACATGGGAGAAGTCTTGCTATTAGTAGTCATGTGAATTTGGTATTCGTTCGATATTTTGATGAGATGTATGTTGTCTCTCCTCTAGTGGTGTTATGTGAACGTCGACTATAAGACACTTCACCATTATTTGGGCCTATATGAAGACATTGGGAAGTAATAAGTAGATGATGGGTTGCTAGAGTGACAGAAGCTTAAACCCTAGTTTATGCGTTGCTTCGTAAGGGGCTGATTTGGATCCATATGTTTCATGCTATGGTTAGGTTTACCTTAATACTTTTGTTGTAGTTGCGGATGCTTGCAATAGAGGTTAATCATAAATGGGATGCTTGTCCAATTAAGGATAGTACCCAAGAATTGGTCCACCCACATACCAAATTATCAAAGTACCGAACGCGAATCATATGAACGTGATGAAAACTAGCTTGACGATAATTTCCATGTGCCCTCGGGAGCACTTTTCTCTATATAAGAGTTTGTCCAGGCTTGTCCTTTGCTACAAAAAGGATTGGGCTACCTTGCTGCACTTTATTTACTTTTGTTACTTGTTGCTCGTTACAAATTATCTTATCACAAAACTGTCTATTACCTATAATTTCAGTGCTTGCAGAGAATACCTTGCTGAAAACCGCTTATCATTTCCTTCTGCTCCTCATTGGGTTCGACACTCTTACTTATCGAAAGGACTACGATAGATCCCCTATACTTGTGGGTCATCAAGACTCTTTTCTGGCGCCGTTGCCGGGGAGTGAAGCGCCTTTGGTAGGTGGAATTTGGTAAGGAAAAATTTATATAGTGTGCTGAAATTTACTGTCACTTGTTACTATGGAAAGTAATCCTCTGAGGGGCTTGTTTGGGGTATCTTCACCTCGACCATTAGAGCAAAGAGATGCTCCTCAACCTACTCAACCTACTGAACCTACTGAAAATGAAAATGTTTACTTTGAAATTCCTTCGGGTATGATAGAAAAACTGCTAGCTAATCCTTTTGCAGGAGATGGAACATTACATCCTGATGAGCACCTAATATATGTGGATGAAGTTTGTGGATTATTTAAGCTTGCTGGTATGCCCGATGATGTTATCAAGAAGAAGGTCTTCCCTTTATCTTTGGAGGGAGATGTATTGACATGGTATAGGCTATGTGATGATATGGGATCATGTAACTACAAACGATTGAAATTGGAATTTCATCAGAAGTTTTATCCTATGCATCTTGTTCATCGTGATCGTAATTGTATATATAATTTTTGGCCTTGCGAAGGAGAAAGCATCGCTCAAGCTTGGGGGAGGCTTAAATCAATGTTATATCCATGCCTCAATCATGAGCTCTCAAGAGAAATGATTATTCAAAAATTTTATGCTCGGCTTTCTGATAACAATCGCACCATGCTCGATACTTCCTGTGCTGGCTCTTTTATGATGAAGACTATTGAATTCAAATGAGATTTATTGAAAAGAATTAAACGCAACTCTGAAGATTGGGATCTCGACGAAGGTAAGGAGTCAGGTATGACACCTAAGTTTGATTGTGTTAAATCTTTTATGGGTATCGATATTTTCCGTAAATTTAGCACTAAATATAGACTTGACTCTGAGATAGTAGCTTCTTTCCGTGAATCTTTTGCTACCCATGTTGATCTCCCTAAGGAGAAGTGGTTTAAACATCATCCTCCCATAGAAGTAAAAGTAGATGCACCTATTAAAGTTGAATAAAAGACTATCACTTATAATGGTCCTATTGTTCCTACTGCTTATGTTGAGAAACCACATTTTCCTGTTAGGATAAAAGATCATGCTAAAGCTTCAACTGTGGTTCGTAAAAGCAATATTAGAACCTATACACCTCCTGAGCAAGTTAAAGTTGAACCTAATATTGCTATTGTTAAGGATCTCTTGGCTGATAATATTGATAGGCATGTTATTTATTTCTGTGATGAAACTGCTAGAATTGCTAAACCTTGTGCTAAAGATAAACATAGACATGTGGTAGGCATGCCTGTTATTTCTGTTAAAATAGGAGATCATTGATGGCTTGTGTGATATGGGTCCTAGTGCTAGTGCAATACCTATTGACTTATACAAAGAAATTATGCATGATATTGCACCAACTCTCTACAAATTTCTTCTCTTATTAGATGCTGGTATTTGGACTGAAGAAAATACTGAACTTAGGAGTACTCACCAATTGTGCAGAGCTACTGCAGTATGTATCCAACACCCTTTTAAGAGTCACCACATTCTGGTATTAGCTCTCATAAGAATAAGAGGATCATCGGCAAATAATAAATGAGATATTGACGGGTCATTCCTGCATACTTTTATTCCTTCTATGCCTCCCACTTTCTCCTCATAAGCGAGTATACTAGACAGGCCTTCAGAACAAAGTAAAAACGGGTAGGCGATAAGGGATCTCCCCGTCTCAAACCTCGAGTGGGGAAAAACTCATCAGTCTCAATGTTATTAAATCTAACTATGTAGCTTACTGAATACACACGATCATAATAAGCTCTATCCACTGCGGGTGAAAGCCCATCTTTACCATCATTTGTCTCAAGAACCCCATTTAACTCTATCATAAGTTTTCATCATATCCAACTTGACCGCGCAGAAGCCATTAGTGCCCTGAGTCTTCTTTTTAATGGCATGAAAGCACTCATAGGTCATCAACACCTTATCAGTTATTAATCTGCCTGGCCGTTAACACGAAGTATGCACTGTGTTTAGCTTTTCAGTCGGCATGACAGTACAGGAGGTTCTGGGTGCAGTCATAATCGATCAAACTGTACATAGCAAAAAGAAAATGGGAGGAGGCCTAGTGCCAACTGATTGTCAAACTGGCGCCAGCCGCAGAAAGAGGATCTTTCGCTGCCATTGCTGTGGCCAGTGTCTTGCTCGGCATGGGACTGACCACCAACCAAACCAAACTGAACGCACTCACGCCTCACCGAGGCAGCCGACCACGCAGTTAGTTGCCGAGCGTCACGAACCATCGCCGAGTAACCGAGAGATCCTCCTCCATATCTCTGTCCCACACAAGACCGTGGCTGTGGTGTGCGGCCACCGTCGATCCGCGCCCCACCTACAGACTATACTAAGCACGCCGTTAATTGCCCAAGGCAACACCCGGCTAGGGGCAGAGAGATCTGGAGAGTTAAAAATAAAGGAACCTCCAAGATCATGGTGTATCGGCCCCGATTCGCGTCGCCATCGCTGGGTGCGAATGGCCACGTCGGAGTTTCAAATACCTGCACCGCTTTCCGCAACCGTGCCCCGCCTTTGCCCCACAGTGACACGACGGACATCCGAATCGGCCCCGCGCACTGGAGCGAGCTCGCGAGCTCGCTCGCCTGGGTGCACCGCTAAGGCACGCACGCACGCTCCGTCCCGCCCACGCCTGAAACCTATAAAACCCAGCCAACTGCGCCATCATTTCTCACCAGCTCCATCGCAAGGGACAATACTACCACTCTAGCCACTTACTACTGGAGCTACCAGGCGCCACCCCACCCACCAACCAACGACAAGGAGCGCGCCGCGAGCGCACGCCGGAGCGAGCATGTCGATGTCGGTGTCCATGTCCGGGAAGGCGAGCGACCCCGGTTCCGCCTGGTTCGGCGGCGGCAGCAGGAGCCCGCAACCGGGGCCGACACACAACGTGCGGCTCATCGCCATGGCCGTCGCCGCCTTCGTCTCCGTGCTCGGCCTCTCCCTGCTCCTGCACCTCTATATCTGCCGCGTCCGCCGCAGGAACCGCAGGCAAGCGGAGGCCGACGCGGCCGCGCTGGAGGCCGGCTCGGCGGCCCCCAAGCCGGCCAAGGTCGGGCTGGACCCGTCGGCCATCGCGGCGCTGCCGACCGCGGCGTACAAGGAGACGGGCGAGCCGGGCAGCGGCGCAAGCGAGTGCACCATCTGCCTCGGCGCCATGCAGGAGGGCGAGGCGGTGCGCGTGCTGCCGGCCTGCGCGCACGTGTTCCACGTCCCCTGCGTCGACACGTGGCTCGCGTCCAGCTCGTCGTGCCCGGTCTGCCGTGCCCTGGTGGAGCCGCCACCGTCGCCGGCCGCGCCAGCCTGGGTGCAGGAGAAGCAGGGCCTGGAGAAGGAGTGTGCTGCAAGTGGGAGCTCGGCGCCGCCGTGTGGGCTCGGCGCGTCGCTGATGAGGATGCTGAACAGGGAGAGGCCGCTGGCGCGGAGGCTGACGCAGGGTGACCACGCGCACCCGATGGAAATGCATGTCGAGGACCTGGAGAGTCAGCACCCCCAGCAGCAACACTCTGTGGATACCAATTAGTGTTTTTTTTTCGTTTTGTTTTTTCTTTTGGGTTCTCGCCATTCGCTGCTCGATTGCAAATCTTGCATTCGGGTGGCCGATTCAGAGGTGTGAAATATGGAAATACACCCCTGAAGTGTCCTATGTTTTAATTAGGCACTGGTGCTTGTTTATGTGCTTGGAGCTCACCCCATATCTCTCCTATTTGTGCAAAGAAGGGATCATGGATATATAAATAGAGCTCTGTTTTCTCTGGCCATATCGCTTGTTCCCTTGATGATTTTGTTATGACCGGTTGCGCGTTTGAACGAAGGACAAGCTGTGCACATGTGCATAAGCCATGGTACAACGGACAACCCCAACAAGAATGCTTGAATGAAGGGAAAAAGAATTCAAATTTATATGGAGATTACCGGTTTATTTTGTGAGAACCGTTTCGGTACCATGTTCTATGTACGACGGTGTCTTGTGCTTGCTTAGGGATAATAGGCAATGGCATTCTTTTCTTTCTTCTTTTTACGAGAATACGCAATGGCATTCTAACCACACGGAGTGTGTGGTAACTGGTAAGCAACTTCTGAATGAAAATTAAGTTACGATGATTTAGGTCTTTAGCTCTACACTTTAGAAAAAGGTACATAATTCAGAAACGGATGGCATTCTATTTATTCACTTTTTCAATCATTGTGAAAATGAGCCTATATAAATTTACTGTGCGGGGGCTGAACATTTGCACCGATTTCTCCCGTAAAAAAACACGCTAGAAAGCAACACGGTACAATTGCATGACCACGATTGCACTCATATAGCTCCCACGTAAGACCCGTAAAGCAATTCGGCCATGGAGGGACACCAGGAAAAGTTGTGCCCGGTCATTTTAGGTAGATAAAGACATAGGAAGCGGGCGATGTTACAACACGAATGTAAGCAAGCACTACTGGTGGAAGATACGCATCTGCACGCGGACCGGTCGCCGTGGCGATTCCGGTAAAACCATTTCATAATTCCGGCGTCGTCACTCCAGTCTTCTTGCTCGGTGCGATGTCAAGTGCTTCTGGTAAGTGGGAACGAGTGGGCCGGTGCAGTGCAATCGCACATGTGTGCTATTGCTAGGGGGTCCTCGTTAAATAAGCACAGGAGTCAAACACCAGCCAGCTTCAACGTGAGAAATCAGTCAGGAAATATAATTGTGTAACCAAGTACGCTCCTCCTTTCCAGCATATATACGCCGACGTAGCTATCAGGCATAAAGACTTCTTATTCCATTGCACCCATGCGTAGGTTCTCGGCTCCTTTACGTCTGCTAGAAGGAAGAGCGAGAAAAGCAGGCAGTGGGAAGTGGTGTTCCGACTCAAAAGTCGAGTAAAGGCTTCTTCTCCGACTCAAAAGTTGGCAGCGGTGACTCGGAAAGTCGCCGCCTACGTCCGCCGTACCGGGCGACAAGAAAATACGACAACTGTTGAGCAGTGCCGACTGGTGGGCTCCCTCGTCCACCGAAGCAATTCGGCGCGAGTTCCATATGGTTCGAATAAGATATTTTAAGATCCTTTGTTTTTTTTGACAGTGGTATGATCTTTTACAGGTCTGAAAAAGGAAGATCTGTTTGCTGGAGCGAGGTTCACATGTGAAGGTTCACTTCACCCTACTTGGGTACTCAATGACCGGTGATCATATAGTAGATTCATAGGGACTAAACAAAATTTAGGCATCATCAGGGTAGTAGCAGAGAACCTTATCCTGTTATCCATCATGTAAAACGGACGATGCGATTAATCTGGACCGATGGAGTGGCACTAGTTTTAGAAGGAACAGATTCGTCAACTCTACACATCATAAAGCAGGATAAGGTTCGCCAGATTCGTCAACCAGAAACCAACCCTAGGATGACAGCGTCGAGGAAAATGATACACGCTATGACTAGGTTTACTCATTCTCGCTTACCTTTCCGCCGTCAAAAGGTTCTTCGTTATCCAGAGGTGGTTGAATTGTGGATAAACTTCCCCTCCCCTTTCCTCTCTCTCTCCAGACGAACAGCTCGAGAAATCGCAACCGAGGAAGCGGGCAAGAGCATGGCTGATCGGCCACAGGCATCGCGAACTGAGAAAAAGGTATGGTAGTAGTAGCGCGCCAAACAAATGTGTAACGGAGAAATTCAAAAGCCTTTGACGTTGGACACGCACTGTGCCACGGTTTCCGCCTACCTGACAGCTACGACTCAGGGCAAGGCAAGACGCAGATCGATCGTTTCGGTGGCTAAAACAGTCATGGATCTGCTTTTACTTACTTCAGGAGGCGTGCTTTATATCCAGGGAGATTGCAGCACGGTGGCTGTCGAGCTAGCCCAACACCCCGAGTTACCGAGAAGAGATGGTGCTCCCCGTAGTTCAGGGTGGGGTAATAATGTTCTGGATTGTATTTTTTTGCTTTTTTTTCTTTCCTTTTGAGCGATTGTGACGACTCTGCTTTTTGTGACTCGATAAATGCATCTCTATTCTTAACGGCAAAGGAATAGCAAATTTGGCTTGGCAATATCTAGCACCAGACAATGACCAAGATCGGCATGTCTCTCCTCTTTTCTTTTTGACATGGATGGGAGATCGCCCGATTTTCACAATAAAAGGCCTTGCGGATAATATTAGAACATGTAGTCAGGAATATTCTAGACTGTTTGATTCCCCAACTCTGAAACGGTGTTCCGTCGCGACTTTCTACACGATAAAAAGCAAGCATACTTGGTACTTCCGATAGTCGACAAAACTGAAAGCGGATAAAAAAAAACATCGAGTATGCCGAATGTGGAAAATGGGGCCATGTAGCGGTTGCCAGAATGTAGGTCACAGATTCAGTTCTTAGTTGCAGATGGAATACAATTTAGGTTCTTGTCCACAAGGAGTCACAGAATGTAAGACTCCGTAGTTCAGGGTGGAGAGGTAATGTTCTGGATTGTATTTTTGCCTCTCTTTTTTTGTTTTCTTTTGAACGATTGTGACGACTCTGCTTTTTGTGAGTCATAAATACATCTCTCTTAACGGCGAAGCAATAGCAAATATGGCTTGGCAATATCTAGCACCAGACAATGACGAAGATCGGCATGTCTCTCCCTCTTCTTTTTCTTTTTGACATGGATGGGAGATCGCCTGATTTTTATTTTTATTTTGAAACAGAGGCAAAAGCTTTGCCTCATCTATTAATTAAGAAAAAGTTAGAGTGATATTACATTGTACCCCTTATTACAAGACTGTTACTCTCCCGTCATGATTTTACCCAAATGTTTCGCCCCTGCGACTTTCCAAAGCGTAGCCTCGTTCTTGATCGTGTTGAAAACAACGAATGAAGGTGTAGACTTGTGCCAGAAGATCCTCGCGTTTCTTTCATTCCAAATGGTCCAAGAGACTAGCATTGTCAGCGATGCCATTGCCTTGCAATGGGGCATGTGCCCTTGACCGATAGCCCGATTTCACAATTATAGGATTGGAGATAATGTTAGACAGGTAGGCATCTTCAGGAATATTCAAGACACTTGTTGTTCGTTTCCCCACCTCTGAACAAGAAGGCATCTTCAGTAGGAGTAAAACACAAACCTGGTACTTCTGGGGAATCTTGTGATGCGTTTAGCAAAGCAGGAGCTTGTGGATCTGGAGCTGATTGCTGAGAAAGGAAGTGGACACTATGAACCAAATTTAGAAAATAGTGCCATGTAGGGGTTGCACGGATGCAGGTCTTGGTTGCAACTGAGAGTGCAATTGAGGTTCTTGTTCACAAGGACCAGGAATCCAGGAACCAGGATCACACCGACTTCATAATGCTACATTGCTATGCCAGTCACAGATTATATTTTGATTCTACAGACTGCCATATAAGTTCAGTATGCCGACTTATTAGGCAGCGCTGCTCTGGAAGGTTCAGAATGATACGGTACTGCAACAAAGAGCAGACAGTGGAAAGTCCCCCTTCCGCAGATTGTTTGGTCAAGAATTGTCTTGGATTTAAAACTAGCAAAATGGATATGATGAGCATGCACACTATTCGACTAATCAATTCAACCCAAGCTTATGAAAGATGCATTAAAATATTTCAGGCAGTTAGTACATACAGTTCCCATGTACAAGCGCATAATTTCTGTAAAGCTTTGTTGAAATACCAAGATCAATATCGTTGGAACTTCATAACGGTTTTCAGTCAGTCAAATATATGGCTTACGACACTTTGGAATGTCATGGAAGGTTCAGAATGATGCATTACTGGAACATAGTACAAAGTAAGATTTTGTGGAACTATGTCGCCTGTGCTAAATGAGGTGTTTGGTTCCAAAATTTGGAAATGGTAATGGGCTGTAATGAGCGATTCTCTGACTTGTTTACGTACTTACAGTAAGGGATGGTAATAGATACTCCTATACCTTATTTGTGTTTGGTTGAGGAACAGAGAAAGTGGACCGTAATAGATGGCTGGTCGCTGATCCAGGACTCTGACCAGTAATGCAGGCTCCGATGAGACGGTGAGCTTCTGCAACGGCCCGTCCTGGTTAGGCCACCGAAGAAGACGATGTCGCGCATGACCCTAGACGACGGCGTGTTCAATCTCAAATTAAGACTTGACATACAACGGCGTGGGAAATTTGTTCCACATGTTCTTTAAAGTGTCTTCGTGTTTAGTTAGGGATGTCGTGGCAGTGGGAATATTGCCTTCCCCGCCCTTTCATGTTCCGTTGGTGTGTTTTATCACCGGCGGAGGGCTTGTGATTCTGTGTCTCTGACAGGTCTTCCGGGATCCGGCCGGTTTAGGTTTCCAGTTGATCCGTCCGAATTTGGTCGGCCTTCGTGGTCTATGAAGTTTCTATAGGTCCTTATCAGCGCTCTCTTCTCCAGGCTGGCCATTTGCTTCGCAGATCGTGACCATCGGCTACAAGCTCCTCGGTTTCAAAAAGTTTGCTCCGCCAAGGTGGAGGCCCATAGGCGGCACTGAGCTTTGCTCACGACACGACGACATGTCGCCTGTTGGTGCATGAGGAAGAAGACTTC